AATTTAAGATTGATAGATAATTACTTTGCTTGCCAAGAAGAGACTTCCATAATCAGTATAAATCATAAGGTCATTAAATTGGTAGGGCAATGAGAGATAAATCAATGCCCTGAAGATGACTTGTAATTGCTTGTTGGAGGATACATGGCTGAATGATATTTTGTAAAGACCATACTGCGCATCTATCTAATTGGGTTGGATGTGTTAGAGAGTCTATAACAGAGCTAACTGAATAAGTCAAAGACCACCCACATATGAACCAAATGACTTACGTGTCTGTGGGACACTCAGGAAAATCTGTACTTATTGCTCTGTCTCAACTCTATCAGGAAATTCCTGGGCTGTCTTAAAAAAGGATAGAAAAAGAAAAAAAGGTTGATGCAATTCATTTTGTATAATGCGTCTAAACCCAATGATATGGAGACAAAAGTGACATGCAGTCATAGCGACAGCGATGCTATTTTGGAATGTTCTGCATGTACATATTTCATAATTGGATTCAAATGACCAGAAAGTGACACTTCTCCCACAAACAGCCAGCTCTTCCTTGTAGGCAAATCTAATAAACAGTTCAGAATCAAAATTGCAAGAAATTAAGACTTTGCAGTTCATGACCTTTTTAGGACGGTGGGTTTCTAAATAATATATTCATCAAAAGCAACTTAATTAACATGTGCATCTGCAGAAAGGCAGTAAATAACTGTTCTGAAATTGAAGTAAACTGTGATAAAGGATTATCAGCGGGCTTCACATTCTAGGGAATTGCCTCAAGTCTGTCTTGCAGCCTGGGCAAAATAATTGTGCATATATAAACCCCATTTATTCCATTGTTTTCCCTGTGGATTCTGGACTACTTTGTTCTCAGTTAACATCTGTATCAGTCTGTTTGAACTCCACTAAAAATAATAGGATCATTCCAGATTTATATCAGTGTCATTTTGTTTTTACATGCCTGTTACTAGTGAAGGAAAAGGCAGGGATTTATTAAACATCGTTACTCATTCAACATGCCTGCTTACAAGCAAATGTGTTTGTTTAGTGTGGATGATAATGATAAAGTAGTTATATGAGATTAAGGTTTAATCAGTCTCTAATTCCTCATGTGCTGGGAGCTGTACAAATATAAAGATACCTTCCTTACCTCCAGACATCTTAAGATTACAATTGCAAATAAAAGGCTTGGCAACGTGATGCATTGTGCAAACGAATGGAAAAAGTTCAGTCAACGTAGTTTTGTTTATGTATCGTAGCTGGGTTGTAGGTTTTGTCTGTTTGGTTTTTATCTAGAAGACATAATGGAAAGAGGAGACAGTAGGAATAGCCAGATTAGTTATAGCAAAGTTATTGGAAAAGTTATTGAAAGGCATAAGATTCATGTTTAATCTGAATTCCTCAGTTTTATTGTTTGTTAACTGAGAATAGGCAGACACAAGTGTTAGAGACTCTTCAAAGTGCTTATTAAAGCACCTATTAAAGTGGTTCACCGCACAGTGCCATGGCTACTATCCAAGCATGTAATTCAAAGAGCAGTGAATGTCATAATTCAAAATTCCAAACATTATTCTAGATTTAAAATGTGTCTATTGTCCCAGTCTGTATAAGAAGCCAAAGCAAAAACTGCATCAGAGCTCCAAAGCATACAGGCTGATTCATCCTTCTGAATGTAGCTGGTCAATATCTTTCTAAAAACAAACTAGACAAGTAAAGTAAAATTTTATTTTACACTTTTCTAATGAAATCCATATTTAAAGTAAATTGTTTTTATATTTAATGTTAAAGCTTTGATGGCAAATTACTAAGACAGCAGCAATAGAGCTTCCAGTCTGTCAAGTTACAGATAAATCTATTCAGTACGTTTAGAATGAAGTATTCAGCTGCCTTGAGGATTTCATGGCTATCTCTACTTGCCTGAATTATCTTGAATTAGCCTTTAGAAGAAAATCCAAAAGCTTTGAATCAGGTGGTAACATGAGCAATTAGAAAATACATTACAGTGTTAACCATGATCAGTTTTAACATGGATACTTTGCTTCAGTAGTCACGGCCTTCTAGTAAAATGAGTTTGCCAAACATAAAGGGATAATGATATTCCTTTCATTGTTTGATTAAATTCTACTTTAACTTTCATCCTGCCTTAAAACTTTTCTGAATTGTGACAATTTATTTTTTCTGGTGAGAGTTAAACAGTTATCCTTTTCTTATGTTATTCATGAGTAACAATGAAATAAAAAGTTCATGCTTTCCTGACAGATTGTTGTTTCTGCCCTGTTTTCTTAGACATTGGGCCGTGCTTTCAAGTGCAGTAGTTGAGTCCTGTTCCATCCGATCTGATTCTTTTTATCTAACCAAACAGGCATTCAGGAGGACAGTGCATGGGAGAGGTAAACAGAGGAGACACTGAACCACAGGGCATTGAATTGCACAGGTTGCACTTGTACTTAATCATTATGATTGTGTGGTCTGTGCTTCACATGTTAGGTGGAAGCACTGGTCCTTGTGTTAGGCTTGTGAACTTGGATGCTTACATGTAAAGGGTGCAGAAGATGAGAAAACATTTTTGAGTCTCCATGACTAAATGTCTTTGAGGACAAATCAGACATTTAGGCAGGGAAATAGTCTAAAAGATCTTTTCTACCTCTGTTTTCCACAGGTCTGTGATAGCCCCATGCCATTGTTTTTCGCTTTCTATATACTTGCATACTGACCTCATAAAAGAATTGCAAACATGGCAGATGAAATTTCAATATTACCTGGAAAAGCAGATAGAAAGAGGGAAGCCAAAACCATTTCTTATTTTGGTGCTTAAAGTTGAGGATAAGAGGTGTTTTCCCTTGGCCAGGGGAAGGAAGGATATGCCAGCTGCTGTGTTACTCACGAAAGCAAGATCCCACTAATTCTATGTTCTCCACCTACATACAGAGAATAATCATCTCCTAAAAATATTTATACATCCATACTGATTTCAAATAGAACACGTTTCCAAAAATGTAATAAAGAGATGTTCCAATAATGAAGGTTATAAAATATTTAAATACTTCCTCCGCTTCTTTCAAGAGGAAATGCCAAATAGCAAAGAGGAAGGCGATTCCAACTTCTCTTGTTTTTAGTGTGAGGTTCTTATTCCCCTTTGCTTTATCACTCTCTTCTCCCAGAATAAAAACCTATTACTATTTTGTGATGCATATCCTGATCCAAACTTCATACATATGTATTGCCATATGTTTCACACATCATATGCTTTCCTTAGTTTCATTTCAGGTTCAACATCAACACGCTTTACCCATCACTCTTATATACACATACTTTGTTCATTTCACACATCTTCCTATGTTTGCAGAGTGAAACAGAGAAAGTTGAATTGTCTGTACATCTTATGGGGAAGAAAAGACTCCAGCCTATGTCTAGGCCCTTCTATGTCATCCTTACTCACTGCTTACTCTTGAAAAGAGTAACATGAGATATTCACTGACTATATGAATCCAATCTAAATTCCCTTGCTTGTGCAGGGATAGAATTTCAGTGAAATTAAGAAAAAAACAATTCTTTTATGTAAAGCATTAAGAGGAGATATCACAGTAAGATTTGGGTATCTCTAGGCAGCATTAAAAAATCAAATTTTAGATTCTCTGTCACTTAGTGGAATCCCTTGTTTCCGGTATGCCCAGGTTTTCCTGGGGACAGGAGTAGGGATTCTCAGAAGCCAACTGCCTTGCACACATAGAGCGTAGATGTAGCTCCTTGCCTGCAGGCTGCAGGGAGAGCCCTGCTGCAGCTCAGGATGCTCAAGAGACCCAGAGATATGTTGTAGACTCCAAAGGTGGTAGCCTGGCTGTCCAGACAATGAAGTCCCAGCAGTATAGAAGTAATCCTGCTTCTAATGAGTGAATGGCAAAGAAAATAGGACATAAAGGAATGGCTTGAGGTGGCTGTTCCCAGCCCTAAATCTCCTAAGGAACTGCTTATGGAGGACTTCTCACATTCAGAGCATTCTTTGAGGATATTGAAATAGATAGGTGAAGTGACTGCTACACAGGAGAGATGTGCCCCCCTGAAAATTTACATGTTGGTTTTTTTTTTACTGGAATTAATTATAACAAATTCTTCCCCTACCCCCAGTGGAAATGAGATGATACAGCAGTCCTTTTACTAAACTCTGCTTTCTTTTAAGACCATAATTATAACAGTCTGTTAATGTCTTTGAAACAGGTGTTGTAAAATAGCATTTCTTATCATGTTTAAATTTTACAGTCTGCACTTACAGTATATAAGAGAATTAGTACTTGGAATTGTAAAACTCAACACTTCCAGATTTATAATAGTGCTAGGCATTCCACCAATGTATTTAGTATCTTACATGGGAATACTGCACAGTATGCGTTTCTGTACAGGGATCCTTTTGATTTGTTTTCTAATTAGCATTTTAGTTATGGCTATGGATAGGAAGCATTTATGTTGTGCGTCCTTACAAATTAAGACTTCTTAACTAAGAGTTCTAAATTAAGAGTCCTTTTATGCTTTAGAGAAAGAGTTTGCTTGGTTTGCTGACCTGTTTACTGATGTGCTGGTTCCCAGGCTGAGAGATCTAGTGCTGTTTGGTGTTACTCATGGACAAACTGACTTTTGAACCTATTCAGATATCGAAGAACAAGTTTTCAGGTTGTTTTTTCTTGAGATCCTTATAGTTATCAATGTAGCAATTTTATACTACTCATAATGCAGTCAATATTCTTACATAAGGGGTGGCTAACCAAAAATTTACTTAGGTAGTAATTCTGTTCTGCTGATACCTGAGAAAAAGCAGATGGGTTTCACAAGTCATAGATTTTAAGGTTCTTAGTCTGAGGGGCATACAGAGTCTGGACATTTTCATTTATATCTCCACAGTCCCTATTTAAATATACTTAATTTTAAATTATGTTTTGTAGTTCTATATCAGCAAGTGTGAAAATGAGATATCATATAAATTAACTAATAGTTTAGTGACTTGAGTGCTCACCTGGAAAGTGGAATACCTGAGTTCATCTTCCTTCTCCAAATCATGTAACGTAGAAGCAGCATTTTGGGAAGAAGATAGGGATTTGGTGGTGTGCCAGTTAAGGGTACAGTTGCCTCAGAAGGATCCTGTTACAAAGTCACTAACTTGACCTGCTCAGAGGAACAAACCCCAGAGTACAGGTGTGAGTTATTGCTTTAGAATTCTGCAGTATCCCAGTTCATCATGTCCATTAACTTTTGTCAAGGGAGGCACTTCACTTGACCTTTACCCTTTTAGAACCCTAAATATCAGAGGAAACAACCATTTTATATTTGATATTTATACAGATAAAAATACAGCTTTATTCTCATTTGACATTTATATACAGTTACATTATGGTTTTTCAGATAAATGTCAAATGAAAGGTTTCCAAATCTGACATTTTTTAATAGTATGCCTAAAAATGTTGCGGTCAGATGAAGGGCTGTGATTCATGTGGCACTTAGAATGGTCTACCTGGCTTCTGCACGCAACTTGAAGGCTAATTCCAGCTAAACAGAGATCTGTATGGTAGCACCTGACCAAAAAGGAGGAGAGTTCTCTGTGGAATTAATCAAGTTGAAGTAAACCCCTTCTTCTTCAGTGACACTCTGAGTCTTACTGTCAAAGAGCTGAATGACCATTTTAATTCTGTCAGACTCTAATTCTCTCTAACCAGGTTCTTATAGATATTTCACACATGGAGTGTTTAATGTTTAATACCAGATTTATTCATTTGTAAATACTTGATATTATATAGGATTTTGATTCAGCAGAGTGATACCACAAGGTACTAAAATCACAACACATGTGCAAATGGCACTTCACAGAATACAGGAATTGCACTATACAGTAACCACAGTACAAGTGTGGGTTTTATTACTGTCTTTATAATATGCTCACTGTCAAGATTATGGGCATCCCCAGTTGCCAGGAAGGTATACATGGCTTGAAACTAGCTCAAGCCTATTGCTTTCTTCAGAGTTGATGCTGTTGTTTTTCCAGCTTTTATACTCTATTATTGGAGCCATATAACCACTCCCCTCATTTTTGTCTGCCTAGCTCGGGAAGACATTCATACTCAATTGATGAACTTACTTAGGCAGAAACATTTTCACAACCAGGTCATCCACTCAGCTGATCTACAGCCACCCTCTGGTCCCTTTTATGTTCAGCTAAACTCAGTTTCCTTTGTACAGCTATGGGCAGTCTCTCTCTCTATTCTTCCCTGAGTTTTATGAGCATATTACCCATCACCCCTATGCTGTGAATCTTCTCCCAGTGTAGAGGATTATTGATTGGCCACAAACTTGTAAGACAAGTCCAGTTCTTTCCAGAAACTGATAGGATGAGCATTACATCAGAAAAAAAGGATAATGGCAAATCAAAACCAGAGTGATTCTTAATATATGCAAGCCAACTGTCATCTTTCAGGGATTTTTATCTATCTGCCTAATACAGTAAATTAAATTTTCTCTTCCAAAAATATGCAAAGTTCACTTGTGATCAAAGAGAGTTGTTCTTGAGTTGGCCCAGCAAAGTAATATTCTATTCCATCGAGATTACTTCAGAACAGTTTACTAAAGGCACATGGGATTTCTTGCAGCATTTCTGCAATGCTGTTGACCTCAACTGTTGATACTATATTCTGTGTGTAAGACCTTGAAATGATGTGACTAAATACTGACAAGTTTTCAGATTTGTCAATAAGTGACTTTGCAATCTATTTTACAGTGGTAGAAGCCCTTTTGGAAAAAGTTTCAATTATACTCTTTTATTGCCTTACAGGATTTTATTTTGCTCTCCTACAGGAGAAAGGGACCGAGCCCCACAGCAGTTCATAAATGTACATTTATTGGCACACACAGAATTTATGGCCTAATGATTAATAGATCTTCTAGGAAGGCTCTGTTTTATAGACACAGTTACCTCTAGTATCACTAAAAGTTACTGGCCAACAAGATGTTACCACTGGCTTTTTGATTGGTATCAACCTCTAATAGCAACCATTAATAAAAAAATGTATTAATCATATATTAACAACTTATATTTTATGTATACGCTGCAGTGAATTATGCTCAAGAAAATCAGAGAGCTCTAGTACATTTTAGTCTCATACAGAAGAATGAAAGCGGCAATCTTGCCCTCTCGAAAGATACAATTGATATTGTGGGCTCTAGACCTATCTTTTCAACAGGAACATGCATTTCCTTGTGAGGTACTGGATCTCTGCTTTTTTCCTATATTTCTGTGAAATCAAGTATATGAACTTACTTCAGCTGTTCATGGAGCATGTTATTCAATAATACCACCTTATCCTAGCAGCATGCCAGAAGTATGATTCAGTGTCATTCATTACTGCTGTGGAACAAGACAGTGAAGAAAGTTCAGAGCGAGACAGTTTTCATTTTCACCCAGTCTTCAGGTTTTCTGGTTTGAAAATAAATTATTATGAATTATAAAAAGATATTTCTTTTCCTTTAAGTGATAAGTTTGATGATGAATCAGAGAATGTCTTGACATAAACAAAGATCCTATTACTGACATCCATATTTTGATCATGAAAAGGAGTTTCTCCCATCAAGAATCTATAATTATATTGGTTGACCACATCACCACTGCAGATGTGAGCAAGCATAATACTTAAAGGCAGAAAGAAAATCTGTATAGAGAGGACTCTTTTCAGCATTTTGGTGTATGCGCAGATAAGTAATGACAAGATAGAAGGGAGAGAACTAGAAAAATGCTGGAAAGTAGAATTATGAAACTGAGTAACGCCGTGTTTACGCACTGGTTATCTCCTGGATATTTTTTCTTGGACTCGGGGATGGTGAGGGAGGCAAAGAAACCTTTAACCCATTCTTTCATGTTATTGGCTTTGAAATACACGAAAATGTGTCTTACCATTGCAGACTGATCACCAGGAGACAGATCTGTAATTGCCATACAAAACATTCCCAGCATGGCACTGCAAAAAAGAAAACAAAACCAGGTACAGAGTCTTGGGTGACATGGTTTAGTGTGTGGTGTCCCTACCCATGGCAGGGGGGTTGGAACTTGACTATCTTAAGGACCCTAATTATTTTATGATTCTATGTCAAAATTCCATTTTTGTCATCTTCAGATAGAAAGCTCTGAACAAGATAGAAGGGTTTGTCTGAAGTTTGTTAGACATGGGAAGCCTATGGAAAAGATACAAAAGCAGATCCAGATCAGTCTGTTGCTTTTGATTTCCAGAGCATTCATAGGACATCGCTGAGGACATGATTATAAAATTGAAACCTCACTAAAAATATTAGGCCTGATTTTCTTAAAGGTGACTTTAACTGTCCAAGATGACACATATATGTTAAGGAACAAGAAATTTAACTCCTTGTCCTTAAATGCATGCAAGTTTTATGCCTCTTCTTTCATTCATGTCACAGGAAAAAAAAATAAAATTGCCCAGTTTTCTCTCCAGGTTTGAATTTTCTGTATCATCACTGTTGGCTAAAAGACCTATTATAGGGAATGGACATAGTCAAACTTTAAGAAAGCCATTTGAATTTTACCAAGAATAACAAATATAATAATTCTTTTTGTCATACGATTAAATAAACACCTGAATTAGAAATACTTGTTTGGTGCTAATCACACATGGTATCTGCTTTGCTATTCTTCCTTTAAGACAGCAAATACTCCCATGGAAGATGCTGCACGTGGATGACTTTACATTGCCCAAATCAGCAGCTAGATAGCCCTGGCCAATTTTTCAGGACTTCAGAGAGAGGTCTTTCAATTTCTGAACACCATAAAAGTAATTAAGCTTTTTTCTTCTCCACAAACTAATTGTAATGAAAATTTGCTTCACCAAAATGACACAGATGCCAAATATGAAATTGACAACTTTCATACATGATTTAGATTCAGATTTAGCATAGAATCATAGAATCCCAGACTGGTTTGGGTTGGAAGGGACCTTAAAGCTCATCCAGTTCCAGACCCCTGCCATGGGCAGGGACACCTTCCACTAGAGCAGGTTGCTCCAAGCCCCATCCAACCTGGCCTTGAACACTGCCAGGGATGTGGCAGATACAGCTTCTCTGGGAAACCTGTGCCACCGCCTCACCACCCTCACAGGGAAGAATTTCTTCCTAATGTCAAATCTAAATCTCTCCTTTGTCGGGTTAAAGCCATCCCCTCTTAGCCATAAAGAAGTAGTTTAGTGTTAGTGCAATTAAGATGACTAATGGGTTAAGTCTCTGTTTTTACTCTATCTTTTTATTCTTATCTAAACTGCTATCATAGATTAACACATAAAGTAACTTGGAAAACAGAAATAAAATATTGTTTATTCTATGTTCAGAAAAAAACATGACACAAAACAATGAGATATTGAAAATGAGTTCTACTTTACCTGAACTGTTCAAAGATTAAATTCCCATTTTTTGTCATATATCATCAACTAAAGTACTTCTTCTAAATTTTATTAATTACCTATCCCTATATAAAGAAGCATCTTAACACGGATTGAAACAAATTAGACTATGCTTCTTCAAAAATGTGTACTTTAAATTTAAAAGAGAATGTAAAAAACCCCAAAACACAATATGCCTTTTAAAAATCAGATGGACCAGTTAGAAAAGAATGGTCATTGCTACACTTAGAGTTGTGTTTCAGTGTCTGCGCCAGGTTTGCTTTTTCACCATAAAAAATTCACAGATCTAAATTTTTTTTAGTAATTTATAATCCCAACCACTGAAATTAGAAACAGATGCCACTTAAATGAAAAGGCAGTGTAGAAAAATTACACAATGTGTTTTCCATAAGATGGGGGAAGTGTAAGAAATAGGAGAAAAAGATTGTGTCAAGTCACACAGTCAGAGGAACAAGGACACTCCTTCCCCCCCCCCCCCCCCCCAATTATCATTAATATAAGATAGAATGTTTAGCATGATTTCATCCTTACATGTTAATATCTGAAAGAACTTGCACAGTCAACATCATCACTACTTATCTATCATTTATATCTATATCAGAGAACCTGAGGTAAGAAAGTTCATTACAGGTTTCTAGTCCGGTCTGGGTTTGAATTTGGGGTTTTGTTTTATTTTGGTTCCTCTCCCTCACCCCCCACTGAGAGATACGTTCTACTATACCAAACAATATTGTCAGCAAATAAGCAAACTATCAAACTAAAGAACATCTACAAAGAGAATTAAAAGGCAGACAGCACTAAAATTTTAGAATAGACAAACGGATGTACGAGAAGGGAGGACCAGATTTGACATGGTACAAGTGTAGCTGTTTGCACAGGAGTTACGGAATATTTTATTGGCTAGAATTTGTTGGCAGGAGGTTATTAAAATAATAACAATAAAAGAAAACATACATGAGATGACATCATTTAAAAAAGGCTGTATCAGCAATACAGTGTTTTCAGATAAAGTTCCTTACACTAATTAGGCTCCTAAAGGACAGGTTGGGTAGGAGACAGTCCATGTAGCATGTCATTCATTTTAAGGCTATGCTGGAACAATAAAACCTGATTTTTCTTGCTAGGAAAAAGCTGAGTTTATAGCCAGCATGTTAGGGGAAATGATCCTGTCAGAGCAGAGAAAACAACTAACAGAGCACTTGATAGCTAGTTTGCTTTCCAGTGCCTCCTTTGCATTCACAGAGCTTGAAAGTCACCATCTGTCAAATTGCTTCAAAACTACAGGAATAATTTTGTGAAATCCCAAAGTATGAACAAGATGTTTCATCTTTCCTTTCTCTCAAGGTTTTCTATTGAGATTATAGAATGCAAGACTTTAAATTTAGGGGTATAAGAGAAGTCACAACATAAAACTAAATATAAGAAAACAGATTTTAAAACCTTTGAAAAGTATAAGGTCATGAAATACTATTGCTTTTTAATTATGATGATGTACATCTTGAGAAAATGTGAGAATTAAAGTCATAGTTCTCTTTAATCTGAGAGAAATCAGAATCAAGTCATTTTTGACTTTGTCTCCCAAGCTCTTAAGGTTGCCTGATTTTATAAGAAAAAGTGATGAATTTACCACATTGAAACTGCATTTAGTGGAAATGGAGATTGACTCCTAATAATTGTCCTGTGAATACGAGAAATTAAAACAAAACTTCTTTTGCATACTTTAAATACTGTATTTATATATTACATTTATTACCATTAATTAAAAAAATCAGATGGAAGAAGACTATATTTGTTTTTTCATACTATTTTTAAATGGTATTATATTATTAATAAAAGTGAGAGTTCCTGATTTGTGTCCAAGAATGTTAAAATCCATACTGTTAGAACTAAATGAAGAAACAATTAAAATAGTATTACCAAAGAATCTCTTAGCTCAATTAATCTAAACTTGAAAGAATACTGAATTATCCTTTCTGTATGAACAGTTTTGAGTAGTTAAGAACTTTGCAGTCAAAAAAGTTTTAATACAATATTAATAAGTTTGAAATTAAACAGTGCTGATTTTAATTTTTAGCCAAACCAAGGAAAACTTTGGTTTCATCAGGCAAGTTGAAGGGACAAGGAACATGTTTTGCTTCAGACATTTTCTAACATTTCTTTTTTCCATTCCTACACAGAAATACAGAATTGCCAAATATTTTATTAGAAAATTATCAGAATGTTTAATTTTGCAACAAACCAAATTACAATTTTTTCTTAATTTCTTTTTTTCTCCTCTCTCATATTAGACTTTTGATGTTTTCACATGGTCCAAAACCTACAAATTCAGGCAGAGTCAAGTGCCTATAACTTTCATTTGCTAAATACTGGCAATGGGGTTTACTAATTTATTTATTGATATAATAGTGGTCAGGAGATTTTCTTGACAATGGGAATCTTAGATTTTTATCCTTGATTTCATATTTTGTCCAATGACTCTATAATGCAAAATACAAACATAGGAATACATGGTAGGGTCAAAGTTTGTCTCCTTTCAGGTTAGCTGTAAGTCCCAATACAATGGGCATCTCGTGATCTTTGATCCTTATGAGTTTAAGCACTTGCCAGGAGCTGATGTCAGCACATAGCTGTGGGTTCGGACTTAAGCATCTGAATTCTCATTTGCCCCCTAGACAGGTAAACCCTTTACCCAATTGTGCCCTAAATGCCTAAATTATATGTGTAAAGGTTAAATTCAACATGGCTAGGAGACAGGGAAAAGGAAAACATCTAGAAGCTGATTCTAGTGGTAGGGTCAGGAAGCATCAGAGCAGGGCAGACTATGTGCAGAGCTCTTTCCTAACGATACAAGAAAATGTTGCATTCAAACCAAAACACATGGTGGGAGGAAGAGGGGGAGCTGCTTGCCAAGTCAAATATAAAAAGGCACTGCCCTTGCAGTGCCCTGCAGTCCTGAATTTAAGGAGTGGCACTAGATGGGAGAAGAGCTGAAGTGAGTTTTTCTCTGATGATTTAAGAAATTGTTATTATAGGCCTTTCTCAGAGAGGAGCACTACTGGAAGATCATAGAATCGTTAGTGTTGGAAAGGACCTTAACATCACCTAGTTCCAACCCCCCTGCCATGGGCAGGGGCACCCCACACTAAACCATGTCACCCAAGGTTTGTCCAACCTCACCTTGAACACTGCCAGGGATGGAGCATTCACAACTTCCCTGGGCAACCCATTCCAGTGCCTCACCACCCTAACAGGAAAGAATTTCCTTCTTATATCCAACCTAAACTTCCCCTGTTTAAGTTTTAACCCGTTACCCCTTGTCCTATCACTACAGTCCCTAATGAAGAGTCCCTCTCCAGCATCCCTATAGGCCCCCTTCAGATACTGGAAGGCTGCTATGAGGTCTCCACGCAGCCTTCTCTTCTCCAGGCTGAACAGCCCCAACTTTCTCAGCCTGTCTTCATATGGGAGGTGCTCCAGTCCCCTGATCATCCTCGTGGCCCTCCTCTGCACTTGTTCCAACAGTTCCATGTCCTTTTTATGTTGAGGACACCAGAACTGCACACAATACTCCAAGTGAGGTCTCACAAGAGCAGAGTAGAGGGGCAGGATCACCTCCTTTAACCTGCTGGTCACGCTCCTTTTGATGCAGCCCAGGATACAGTTGGCTTTCTGGGCTGCAAGCGCACACTGAAGCCGGCTCATGTTAATTTTCTCATCGACCAGCACCCCCAAGTCCTTCTCCACAGGGCTGCTCTGAATCTCTTCTCTGCCCAACCTGTAGCTGTGCCTGGGATTGCTCCAACCCAGGTGTAGGACCTTGCACTTGGCATGGTTAAACTTCATGAGGTTGGCATCAGCCCACCTCACAAGTGTGTCAAGGTCCCTCTGGATGGCATTCCTTCCCTCCAGCATTCCTTCCCTCCAGCATATCATACTACTGATCTATTTCTTAGAATAATTACTTTTTTTTCCTCATTCTGCCCAGATCTTTGTTACATGTCAGCATAAAAGAAGGCATAGCTCATGTTTCAAGTAAGTAATTTTTCATTAACAGAGTCATGAATCTTGTGACAAGTAGCACTGATCTTCAGACTGCCCAAACCAGAGCTTCTATCACTTACTTATTCAAGATGATACTTTCTTAACTACAGTAGGTTCTGAAAACAAAACCATAACAGATGACTGAATTTGAATATAAGAGATCATAATCTTTTTTAGGGAATTTGGCCACACAACAGTGATACTATACTCTGAAATCTGCTTTCTCTTTCATTTTATTGTGCTTGGCCTTTTAGCATATGGATTTTGGTGAGATCTTAAGGAACACAATTACAGTATTTTTAGAAATACAGTGAGGTTACTTAAATGATAATCAGATATTCTGAAAAGTCTCCAAGGTTTTTACAAAATTTAGTATTTGTGGAAAGTACAAAAATGGAACATCTTTTACCTGAAATATCTTAATGATCTGCATATTGTGCTAAAAGTACCCTCTTTATGAATGAAAATTTAACATAGTTCTTCATTTCAGCACACCTCAATTAGAATGTTAAATGACCTGTGGGAGACTCCGACTTTTTTTAATTCATTGTCTGTTGTGATACCAATTGTGAAAGAATGTCAACTTTAGAGAAGCCACAAATCTTATTGAATTGGCCTACCACTTTACTTGCTGTTGCAGCGTCATAAACAGTTGTGCAGCACAAAAAATTGTGTCTCTCCAGTAAAGAACCTGATGCATTTTTAAGTCATTCTGGGGAAGTTTGTATTTCAGTTTACTGCCATTTACTGCCTAGACAGAATTAATTTTTTGTTAAACTTTTGCATTAATCTTGATTCAGTCTGTCTCCCCCTCTGTTCTGTTACTCTGTATTACTTTGTTTTTTCTTCCAGAAGAACTCTGGCAGTAAAATGAATGTTTCCAGTACCTGAAATATAATGCAATTACATGAATTTCCTGAGTTGAGCCCCTATTTGGTTACCTTTGGGGAAGGTCCACCAGTTGGGGTTGTGACAGGAGTCAGCAGAGTTCTCCATGAGCAGGGAGGGGGCAGAAATTTCAATGCTTTGGAAAGACTGTTTCCTGCAGTGGCCCTTCAGTACTCACCTTTTGTTTTCCCACTCCAGTGAACGCGTGATGGGAGTGTTCAGAGACAGCCCTCCAGTAGTGCAGACAGAGCACGGTGAGGGCAAAGAGCTGGGAGGCAGGAAGGGGAGTAAAGCAGTTGCACACTTCACTGTAGAGCGTAAGACAAGGCAAAAAACCCAAAGGTAAATATGTAAAATTTAACTAAGTGTATGCGTTTGGAGGAATTCTCAAGACTGGTTCTAATGAACAAGGTTTATATGCACAACGGGGAATAAAAGCCACAAGATAGTGATTTTTAAATCTGAAATTTTAGTGTAGTATGTGTTTGTTTTGTTTGGCTGAAGCATCTTTTTTATTTACTACATTGAACGTATGACTGAAATACATGTGTACTGTCTAATATACTGCTTCTCTCCCAACAGTAATTTAAGGTGAATCTCATTAAAAGCCCTCTTTCTGAACAGATAAATGAAGCAATAATTTATTTTTAATGAGGTAAGGTGATTTCTTGCTGTGCAAATGTGCCTAGACCCTGTAAAAACAGTGTTCCCTTTCTACAAAATGTGGATAATGATGAGTGTTTATCAATGCATCATTGTCCTATTTGCTGCTAAGACTGACCTAGTGAGCTACATATCAGAACTGGGGGCTACTCTGCTAATAAAAAGGTCAGTATTGTTGTTGTGAAAGGGCACTGTTTCATTGTTTGAATTATTATAATGTCATTGGCATAAACTTCCAGAACTTTGTTTGAATTCTTTGTTTTTCAGGGAAGTATGGAAAGGACTGAAAAGAGTGGGAAAGGTGTTCTCCAAGCACAACATGACAGTTGTTTTAGAAAACAGCCAGAAATAAGGCTGAAAGTATACCTGGAAAAAATACCAGCTTCTGAGATTTCTCCACCAGTGACCCACAAAAAAAATGACAGGAAACAAATTCCTCCAAAATAAAAGTAAATTGTACCCTGGATCCAAACCCACCTGAACCTCTTTTGGTCTACTTAACATAAAGCATTCTGGATAATTTGGGAATTTTTAGGTGTCATTATATATTGGACACTTCAGATTGTATTAGGATAAGGTGACCAAAATTGCATTTTGTGGATTTTTTACATTATGCCTAGGTTTGTTTTTTCTTTAGTGTTATCTAAATTGCTTTGTGACATTTTCATATTAGCATTACAATGTTTATTACTGGTTTACATTTGGCTTTTTTTTTGTTTTTTACATTTTACTCATGGTAACAGATAGAAATTCTAATCTCCATCACAGACCTAATCCTAATTTATTTCATAGTTCTCCTGTGGGGACTATATTGTATTTTACACTAAATAAATTCTATTTCTTACTGTCTTCCTAATTTTTAATTTATGATAGTCATGGGATTATTACTCATACCTACATGTAGCAAAGCCCTAAAGTACAGAGTTATCTAATTTGATATAAGGCATTGGAAAAGTTCAGATTTATGCAAATATCTCTGCTTTTAGATACAGGCATAATGTAAGCAGAAACTTTCAAAGAAAATGCATACTTTGGTCAATCAGCATTTGAATTAGTATCTAAAAGATTAATGTACATTGCATACAAAATGTTAGACCTGAGAAAATCTTGGAAACAATTTTCCTTTAATTTCGTATTTGCTGAAAAACTGCTTCCATAAAATAATGATTAATTCTAAATTGGACTCAAAGAGGGTTTTAACACTGCTGCATTTGCAAGGGTATTTTGTGAATTATTGGCACTTTGTTTTTTTCCAGTTGGAACTTCCTGTGGAAACATACATGTATTTTTTAATTTTTTTTTAATATGTACGGCCAACTCGTTAGCTAATCAGTAAAAAACCACTGAGCTCAACGTGCAGATTCTAGGCAAAGACAAGGAAAGTGTTTTCGGAGCTTTAAATTTCAGTGGCTGGACATTAGTTTTGAAGAAAACAGAGCACTGCCATCTTTTGTTGGAAGAGACTAACTGCAGCTATCAAATGTCAGCTGGAAAGGGTCTGATTTGGACACACTACTTTCTGTTGGAAGGGTTATTTACCACGTAGGCAGATGTTCTTTCTTATTAAACACACACAAAAAAAAAAAAATTTTTTTTTTTTATTTGGTGAATATTTTCTGAGGGAGAAGACTTCATACAGGTATGAATAAGACTCAGAACCTACCATTCTACTAGACTGCTTGTACCTGTATAAACAAAAACACTTCAGGCCAAATCCATAAGTCTAGATATGGTCTTTTCTTACAATAAAAACAATGCATTCAAGTTTGATTTGTTAATGCAGCTGAAGTTTTTAATGAAGAAAAAAAAAACCCAAGTACCTACCCGTAACCCACGCTGCTGCTGAATCACAGTTTATTTTCTGAGAAGAGAGATCCAAGTCTGGGGTGGTCAGAAAGGTCTTTGCTTTCTATTGTGTACCTCGGGAGGAAGGGGTGAAATATAAAATGGTAGTTAATGTACATGAAAAACTAGAAACCTTTACATCTCTGATTTTACTCACTTGTATTATGGCAAATAATAATTAACAAATACTGTTGCTTCATGAATGAAGGAGCTTGTAAGAAACAGTGACATTTCATAGTGCCACAGAACCGGGAGTTCTGTGGGTTTACAATAATTATTAATTCTTAATTTCCTTAAGTAGAAAGACATGTCAGATCCACATCTGCCATTTTGGTATGCATAATTTGCTCATTTTTACCTACTACTTCTTATTTGAGGGCTTTTTTTCTGACAGTTTTGTACTGTGGCAAATCAGGACTCTCAAATCTGCATTTGACTGCCGGTCTTTTTCTGCTGATGTACAGTAGATCACCTATGGGCATCTGTAGTTTGATGCCAGCACCTCAGTCGGAATTAAAAAAAAAAAAAAAAAAAAGAAAAAAGTTGTATGTTCCCATAATTTAATAAATAAGCATCTCCTGTTCTTCCTTCCTCCCACACAATAGATTTCCACCTGGAAGTTCAAGATGGTAGAAAATGCTTATGACAAAGGGAAAGGAGTGAATATGCCAGATGGTGGAAGGACCCTCATTAATGTGAGTGCTTGGCTTAAAGCATCTTTACCTGTATATCCCTACTGACAAATATTAGTCCTGAGTATGTAGAACTGCCACCAGCCATCATAAACTGCAGTGGGAATGTGAAAACTGAATTCTCCTCCACAACTGTGGCTGTAAAGATTTCTTTATATTCCCCATTCAGATGCTACCCAAGTTTGAACACTGGGCATATCTAAAGGGCAGCCACTATATTCTTGTTTATCCAAGCCCCAGATGACCTAACCTCAGTAGGAATTTTTTATTTTTTTTTTTTTTTTCTCTTTTCTGGGAATATCCAGATCTATACTATAAAGGTATCACTTTGCTTTACAACCAAAATTGTTTTCTAAACCACTCTCAATACTTTCATATAAAATGTCTTCTCCTTTGGTGTCTCTAAAATTAGTTTCCAGGTTACAGTGCTTGACCAGACATCAGGGAATCTGATTTATTTAGTTTCTAAGGTTTCAAATGGTCCATTTCCTTTAAAAAGTGTTGAATCAAAACATTATATGCTTTATTTATATTTTACATGTACAGGGAATTAATTGGCTTGTATAAAACAAGAACTGCCAGATCTTAGTCTTTGTATATGTCAAGAGCTCAAATTTAGCAATGTTCCAGTAGCTTTATGAAGGAGCTTTGGAAGTGCATTAATTGCCACACAGCTCATCTTATTGAAAAATCAAATGGGAGAGAAGTTCACTCAGTATTAATAAAACATATAACTCTCTCCTGCCAGTTACCAAAATCTTTATGTTTCAGTGTCATTAATGCTATTTGTGCCTTCCATAAGCCCAAGGCTAAACAGATCGGTGTCACCAATGGCTTCAGCAAGTCTCTGAGTAAGTAGACTAATTACATGACCTCATGCATGTATTTGGATGTCTGGGGCATGACTGCTGTAAGCCTGAAGTTATGAAAGAAGAGACCTGTAACATCTTGTTATTCATCTATGGAATGGCCTACAGATCTCTGCCTTGCCCTTAAGAGACTATCCTTAAATCTGAGATATAATATTTAGATAAAATAAATATTCTCGTAACCCTTAGAGTTATATAACTGTCACCTCTTTCCAAGTCTGAAATCCAATTTGTGGAATAAAAACTCTATATAATCCATTTTGATAAAAGATAATTAGACTCTTAATATATTAATATATATTTAATACATTAATATATTCAATCAATGCACTTACTTACCATGCAGTTTTTATTCTTAGTTTTCCCAACAGGCTATGGTAATGACTCTTTCACAGTCTCAAAAAAATGAACTGCAAAAAATCTCATTTGACTCTGAGTAAAATCTATTTGCTCAAACAGCAAAATGTTAATGAGCATACCCCTATTAATTTCTGTACCTTTTGTTGACACAACTTGTTAACAAGGCTTCACATAAAAATTATTGAGCAATTTCATTCTATAGTTTTTTTCTTGAATATGTAAGCACTGAATTTTGAAAGACATAGATGCCACTTACTTAAGTCTTCTTTAGGTAACCTCTCTTAGAGGTCTGGCCATGCCAATGCTTTTATGAATATTAGCACAACTGCACATTACAGAATGCCCAAATATTTTGTTTACTACAAGGATAGTTCAGTATATTTACTGGAGGTACCTTTTAATACACCCATTCTATCCAAGCAATTTTTGCATAAAATAAGGTACCTAAAAATATTAACACTTTTGAGTATTTGCTATAGGAAAGGAAAAGTGTTTATGCCCAAGTCAAAGCTACAGTCAGTTGTCAACCGATAAAACTAAAGCACTGAATTCACTCTTACCTGCTTTAACAGACTTACTTTTCTCTTCTGTAAAAGAGTAAAAGTTCTAGAAAAATAAATATGCATAGTAAAAGCAAGGCTCCTCAAAAGTAATACACACAGCTGGGGTAAAAATGAGAACAATGATGCTTTTCCTGGCTAGGAAGTGATCTTGGACTTCTACTAAGTGAGGGGCAGTGGGCAGTGCTCTGTTTGTTTGCACTGCTAGCTCTCAGTTCAGTTCTTCATGCAACAAAATTGACATTACAGTTTTTCCAGCTCTAGTGTGTTAAAAGCTTGTATAGTAAAATCCTAAACTAGGGGCATGATGTGGGGGATTTTATTATTTTTTGCCTTTTTATATAATAAGCATTATTTTTGTAAACTGAATATGATGAGATGGTTATGGGCAATGCAAAATCCTCATTATAATAATAAATATAGAAGAACTACAAATCACTCATTCAACAATCACAATGAATTTCCTTCCAAGTCTGGGATTTTCAAACTATTCCCCCCATGTCCTGCAGACCAGCAGCCACCTGTTGCTGGAAGTGAAACTACTAGATTGGAGAATTTGGGCGCATCCTGGATTGTTTCTAATTCATTCATGATCTTGTACTTACTAACTGCTACTTCCCAAGTAATTAGGTGGTATCTACTTGCATGTAGTAGAATAACCTCTGTCTCACGCATTCATGCCTCATTTCCTCATTTAATGCTCTTTTCAGTCTTGTTATTTATTTTCTTTAATATTACACTTCCAGCTCTATAGCCAGATGAGTCACACTCGTTGCCATCCACAGCAGCATTCTCCAGGGCCTGTGAAACAATAATTTATAAAAGCTTTTCCACTAAAGTTATATACAGTCAGAGAAGCTAACCTTTATTTTAGTGGCGCTTGAATTAGGATGAAATTCCATTCAGAAAAGATTATTCATAATAAAATGCAGAACATCACCATGTATTTTATATTATTTAAGAAAAAAAAGAAGCCACAACTCCGTAACTACACCACACAGCACAGTGCTGTGACAGGCAGTGCCTGACACAGATTATTTTTTTTCATTCAGAAATATAAAACCCTAAGAACAGGCTGAAAATTTCAGAGGACTTCCCTTCTTTGCCATAAAAAAAGGGAGAACTGAGTTCTCAGAAATTCTACATTAAATACGGAATGACTGATTTATTTTCCTCACAACAGAAGAGTAATTTATCACGTCAAAAGGTTGTTTCCTTCAAGTTGCACACGGTTCCCTGTTCAGCTGTCATTATCCATCTACGATCATTACAGTGTACAATTAGAATTTGGGATTAGAGAGTAATTGTTACCTTCCTGAAGGTGACACTGACAGAGAGACAAGTAAAATGACTGTGAGATAAAACAGAGGTAATCCCTTCTAACATGCATACAGAAAAAAATCTTGCTAGCCAAGAATAAAGGTATCCAGATGCCAAACACGGGAGAATCTATTACGTGTAACAGAGGGGGAACTCCTGTACTTTTTCCATGGAGGAAACTACTGTTGTTTCAATGACATCAGTAGAAACTGACCTGTGAAAGTATAGTACATTCCTTTGTCATTTTAACCACAAATTTCAGTTTATTCACTGAATGAGATGAAAGAATTGTTACTATTACTGTCTTACTTTTCCTCAAGCTAACTCTCTCCGTGGACTTCCCGTGGAATTAGGATCGGTACATCGAAATGCATGCTATGTTCTGTAAAATTCAAGGAAGCTTCAAGATGCTGGCCTGCTAAGACACTTTATAAAATAACCCAGTGAAAACATTTAGTCAGATGCGCAGTGAACTACAAGTCAGAACACAGCACTGCTGCTTGCAGTGTGACAAGCATCATGATCTGCCATGTTTATTTCTCCAAATCCCTAAAGAATAAGATGGCTTGTCGCATTTGCAGTTGTTGAAGGGAGAAAGGCACAAATACTTAACAGCATTTCCATATCAAGAAAGATACCTGTTCACTTGCTGGGAAAAGAAAAATCATGTAACAAGGTATGGATGCAGAATAATTCAGTCTAATGTTTTGTTGCTCTTGAATTCTGTTATCTTGGGTTCCAGGGGACAAATAACAACATTGAACAGACAAATATTACTGAAATGGAGAAAATTTAGGGATTTGTTGAGTTTGTTTGTTTTTATAAATAAATAAATTTACGATTACATGGTAATGTATAATGTACAATTACATGGAAATGAAATGAAAGACTGATTCCTACACTTGTAATTTGAAGTTCAGAACATATCTAAAATGAAAGTATTTTGCCAGAGCAAAAAGAAAACTAGTCAACCAACACAAAACCACCAACAGAATTACAAATTGGCATTGTGGCACTGTGAAGAGTATTCCCTTCCCATTTAAGAAATATCTATATACTTCAAGAAATATCTATATACTACAAGTGTAACCTGACACATTCAAATATTGTAAGTTTTCACTAGTTTAAGAAAAAAAAACAACATGCCAAACATTAAAAATAAATATCACTTTAATATCATTGCAATGCTATTAAAAATCAGAGTATAAAATTTCATGCTCAGATCATTGAATGATTTGGGTTGGAAGGGATCTTAAAGCTCACCCAGTTCCAGCCCCCTGCCATGTTGAACTTCTGTTTAACAATACCCTAAGTCCTTTTCCCCAGGGCTGCTCCTAGCTCATTCTCCTCTCAGCCTGCGTTTGTGCTTGCAGATGATGAACAGGAACATATGTTTTATACCACCTTAAAAATCTACTTGTTTCTTCTTATAAATTGTGCCATTTTTCATACCTGCATACTTGTGAAGACCATGGTGTGTTAGAGGTCTGTGTAAATGTCACATACACAATTTTCAATCTTCTGGTATAGAAAATGTCGGATTTCTGTAATATTCTCTAAGAAACACAAGTGTCTTTGACTGCACACTGACATTGTTAGCAAAGTCCTTTACGACAATAGAGTACATGCTGTAATTTTCCCTAGAGCTGAAAACTCTTTCAAATGAACGTGAGTCAGACAGTACTTTCGGGAATAATGTTGCAAAGTTGTAAATGCTACTTACCATCCCCATGAATGCTGCCTTTTGGAGGCAGTACATCAAGTGTCAGGCACAATGTGAACTCTAGATTGTTGGAGTACCTGTTAACATAGTGATATTTTCAAAGTTGTCTTGCTAAGTTTGAAGAGAAACAGCTATTTAGGTTGGCAAATGAAACAAAGGTTGCACAAACCAAACACATGACATTGTCTGTGACTTGCTTAATGATGTAAATATGGGTCTAGATTCAAAGCTCATTGGCACTTTTTGATCCAGGATAATTTTATATGAAATACTGGTTATTCACAATCTAACACCAGCCTGTTTATTGGAGAAGCACTAACACTAACTAGCTTAGTTTTCAGCACTCTGGCGATAGTTCTGAGAGATCTTTCAAAGACACATGCTCAGCTTTTCTACCTCCTACTAGGAGCCTGCCCCACTAGAATTGTGCCCTCTGGAAGTCTAGCCATGTGGTAGAGGTGATTACGATTACTTTAGTAATTACTTATAAGAAGCAGGAGAAACCACAAGGTAGCACAAAAAGAATTAAATCTGAATTCAACATGAATCATTTACTTCCTTCTGCAAACCTTTTCAGGAGAAGCTTTCTCCTTACTGATGATGATATCGCTGTTGTTTATTTCATGCAGGCTTCACAAAGGTGTGTCTTCTAGGGGTAGGTGCTGTCTTAGATTGCTGACGGTCTTCCTAGTTTTTTGTCAATATTGAACTTTTTAAAAAAAAAAGTTGTACATTAATATTTTCAAAATTGTCATGTTTCAAATGAATATTCAGAGTATTTCACTGTGTGACCAGATTAATAGTTCATAGAAACAAAGTTGGTGAAGCAGCCCTCTATTTTCATAGGCTGGGTGAATATATAGAGTTGATTTACAACAAGTATTCTAAGTAACTTTTTTTAAAGGGCTTGAAACAAAGCTGGGATTTCCAAAGCTGCATATGGCTAAAGTATTCAAAATCTCTTGTCCTGTATGTCCTTATGCCTTACATAGTAGTTCAGGCCTGTGCTTAATGAATGATGCATGAAGGGCTGTTAGGAAGTTGTGCTGCAGGGAAAGACTTTATTCTGAGTCATGAGCAGTGTTGAACTGTAGCCTCATTAATTTGATTAAAGGCATGGCTCATTATAGCCCAGCTGGTTATGCAATTTTTAAATAATACATAGTTTTCCTGAGATCTCATTAATTGAAGTTATTATGCATTTTATATATTTTTGTGACTCTTTGATCTAAACTGTTGCATTATTCTGCTGTTTACATCATGAAATTTGCCACTGGCCATACATGTGCAACACCTGAATGTTTGCAACATAATCCTGCTGATGCTTACCAGATATGTAGTTGAGTTTTCAGCTTTTTGGTATGGTTTGGCATTATGAATCACTAGAAAGATGAATAGATTGCATCCCTTTTGAAAAATAATTATATAACCAGAAAGTACTGCTAATAAAGAAGTTTATAACAGAATTTTAAGAATGTTTTGAAAGAAACTTCTTTTGCCTTTTTTAAAAAGTAAATGCTAATAAGATACAGTCAACAAAATGATCTACTGAAAAATTAGTTTGATAATTGCTTTCATTCATGTACTTCTTTTCCCTGGTGGTCAAAGTTATTAAGGTCACAGTGATAAAATTATGCTTTCTATGAATTGCTCAGTATTTCATACCATGAGGCAATCAGCACTAAATCTAGCACAAACACTATTCTGAATCACCTCAAGAGATGCCAAGTCAGTAGGTAGCAAATAGGCAGTAAGTTTAAAAAAATAATTCATAATAAAGACTGAAAAAAACAATATTGAAAGAAATTCTACAGCAAAAGGAAAAATGTCAGCACTGCAAAGACAACTCACTTGAAACCTTTGGTTCATATTGTCCTTAGGTGAACTATCAATGCCATTTTTAGGAGGAATACATGATGATTTGAGTCATCCAATCTACTGTCTCTAGTGAATACAGAAAGTTGACCTATGTCATAAAAGATGCAGGAAACATCCTGGAATTTGACTCTAGGTGGAGAGAACAGTAATGAAAAATCTCCTTCAAGACATAAGATTTCTTATTTGTGAAGCCCTGGCTGACAGGCTGATGTTTGACATGTCTGGAAGTCTTGTGATTGTCTAGCTCTCATATGATGTGCTCCGATTCTGCAAAGAACTGCTTCATAACTCAATTATAGTTCACTGGGAATATAACACTTTCTAGTAAGGAACTGTGAATGACAGACAGATTCTTAGAACTCCTTGGGGGGGACTGGACTGTAGACCTTCTTATCAAAATCACATGTTCTTCTCCCTCATTGACAAACACTGGTTTTAGAGCTGGCAAATGCTGTTTCCAAGCTTGCCACTTTTGCCAGGCACTGCAAAGATGCATCCTGAAGGTCAAGCAGGACATAAATTACTGAGATTTTCACTTCCTATATGTAATTTTCAAAAATTCTAAGCCTTTACATATACAAAACTTCTAGTGTTGAATAAGAACATGTAAACTAAACCCCATCATCTCCCCCATATTAACTAAATCCAGAGGAGCTGTTAAGGTTTTCTTTCTGAATATTGAACTTAATTCAATGGATTAATCTAAAATATACCTGATGGGACTTAACCAAAGGAAACTTGGTTTTCTGGGAAGTGATTATTATGCTAGCTGAGAAGCTATGAGAACCATGATCAGAACTGTTGACCCAGGCTTTCTTATGAAACATGCTCAACTCCTTTCATAAAATCTGGGCCATTCATACCCTATTTGAGGTGCTCAGGGTTAATGCATCTTTGTGGGATTTCAGCATTTCAGGCTTTCTAGTTCAAACACACGTTCTTCTACTTGATCAGTGTTCAACTTACGCAAAGAACAAGAGAAAGTCTCATTAAACAATATATGAGAAATTTGGCAAATGCCTTATTAATCTTACTGAGATGCATCTGAAAAACAAAGTACAGTCATATAAGTGATACAGCCATCTAAACCATAGAGCTGAAAACCACTGTGAATGTAAGATGGCATACAAATTACCTAGTATAATTCAACACTGTGCTATTACTCTTCTATCTCACAACATGCTGTTGAACTTTCATCCAAATTAACTCGCACCTGTCTTTGACACTGTCATGGTCCTTTCATCTACAACCAGTTTATCTGTATTTTAACAAGATACAATCTTGTCTTTAAATAAGCAAGAGATAAGCAGGCAAAGTTTGAAATCCACATACATGTGGATCTTTGAGCTAAGAAGCATGCAAAGTCATGCATCAAAAGTAATTGGTATTTGAAAATGTTAAAGTTTCCAAAATGTTTTATAATGGGTTTCAATATACAATGATAAAATATTTTGACTCGGGATTTTTTTAACAAACAGGAAAAATAAAAATAAAAACCTCATGAAAGAAAAAATTATATTCTTTTTGGTTTTCCCCTTTAATACACATGGTAATTAAGTGGTAATCTTTCCATTATTTAGTGCTTCTATTTTAAACCTTGTCTACAGAATCATGAATTGTAATTCCATGGCCTATGGAAGCACTCCTGTGATAGACCCCTCTCTTCTATGGTCATCGTGATTTTACATCTGTAAAGAATCGTGAGTTATGTAAATATACTTCTTCTTATTAACTGATCAGAGTTTACATGTAGTTGCAGATTTGCTCTAGAGGGCTCAGCTGGTACACAAACAGAGTTTTCTTGACATTAGTTGTGCTGGGTTTGAATATGGGTTTTTATCAATAGGCAGATTTTAATGATTTTTCCCTACTGTTACTACATTCATAAGGAATCATAGTCAATTTCTTTCAAAAAAACCCTAGAGATTTACCTATTCACCACTGCCAGCAGTTGGACTAGATGACTGTTGAAGGCCCCTTCCAACTGGAGCTATTCCACTCTATTCTATTTAAATGAGCTATGGAGTTGTAGTAAATAACTGACATGTCCTTCTCTAGAAAGAGACCAATTTTATTTTGGCCAGTTTCACTGACAATTCAACTGCAGTGTTGAAAACAGAAGTTTTCCTTACATCAAGTCTTACCTTGCAGTAGTACATGAAGTTCTCAGCTCCAAGTCCAACATCCACTCTTCATACTCAACCCCTAAAGACTTCCCAAGCATGAAAATGTAAATCGCCTGTTGGAACAAGTTGGGTTTTCTGAAAGAACGAAACCAAAGTGACTGAAGAGCCTGGGTTAACTTTACAAGACATCTATAGGATGAATTCCTTTTAAATCCCAGTCCAGTTATTATGCATTTTACCCACCACTCAAATAGACACAGGATTTACCCCAGGGAAAAAAAAACAGAAATATGATTTCACAATTTATACAAAATAACAGGTAAATGAACAGTTTAGATAATAAAGAACTAGTCCTTTCAAAACAAATTTCTAGAAGACATGGTTGTGCAGCCAAAAGCTAGTGTAGAGTTAGTGAACCACAACTAATCACTTTTCACTGTCTCTTTGGCTGTCCTGACTGTTTCTCAACAGAAGCTTGGATGCATTTTTTTTTTTCTGAAAACAATGAAAATGTAAAGTAGCCATTAGAGCACAGAAGTTTGGGTCTTTTGTCTTTTTCTAAAGCAAAACTTCAAAGTGTTGGGGGGGGGGGGGGGCAGGAAGGGGAATTAAAAAACCTGAACTTACTTTTTAGCAAAGCTAGCATATCAAGAGGAAAAAAACTGTCCTCAGCTGCTGCTTGGAAAATGGACCATCCAAGCAAAACACATCCCAGGAACAGAATTGTGGAAGACAGTTAGCTATTTCTGAGATGAAATATTTTGTTGAATTGAAGAGGACTGAACTTACTTAGGTGGAAAGACTTAAAGAAGGAAAACTGTCTGGGATCAAAGAACCATGGTTCAGTATTATCATTTATTTAATTTTTTTAGAATGAGCAGATTTGGGCAGGTTGCTTGTTAGCACAGTTACATTCTTCTGGGCAAATTGCTATACAAAATAGAACTCTGAACAGACACACCAGTTTTTTGGCAAGAGATAGATGAGCAGGCACAAGCATCCATCTTCACTGTGTGTCTTATCCTCCCAGGTGATGGCATAATTTGCTTCATGGTCTCTAAGCATAATTCTACCAATAATGATTTTTTTTTTTTTATAGGAGACATTTACTCAGGAACATTCAGAAGCATAAGAAATGGTTCTGCTTTCTAAAAAAGACAACATAGCTAATGTCCATGCTCTAAGAAACTTTTGGGAGCAGTATATGCATCAGACAGCTTGTTTATATAAAGCATAAGCTAAACTGTAAGATCACAAAAAGATCTAAATAATACAGATGTTTCTTATCTGTATAGCATGTTTCCTTCCAGTGCATCTCTGATCTTTTCAGTATTATCAGACTTGACTTTTGGGCAAAAGAAGCAGCTTGTAACCAAAAACACCAGAGAATTCTTACTTTCTGGGTACATGCAGAGCCTCTATTTAAAGTCTCATACAAAAGGTTTCTATAGAAACCTGGAGGACTCAGCCAACCAGTACTAAAATGCTGAACCCTGAGGCCTATACAATATCCACAAACATATTTATTCCTCCTAACAGCTCCTTAAGTCACTGATCTCTATCATGCTGAAGCATAACTACCTTCTTAATATATAGTGTTATACCTTACACTAGCATACTCTATCTTTGAAAATAAAACAATCTGGTAACTGTTAAAACCATGTTTTTAACTCAGGTCCTTAACTGATCCCATAGCTAGTGAATTGGAAATTAACTCTGATCTCCTTTCTGGCATATACTATCTCCTAAGACTTTTTTAAAGGAGATGTTTGTCCTATATATAGTTATGTTTCAAATTGTTACTCACTAAAAGAGCAAGTATTTTTGGTTCCTTCTGAAAGTCATATTTCCATAGTGATGCCGAGCTGACAAAAATATGCAATACATCATGATAACTGAAAATTAACTCACTATCACAGATACTGCTCCCAGATGCCATTTTAAACTTCCTCTGGAATATTATACTGGTACAAAATTCAGGTTTTCCTGAACCTGATTTTAATATATGTTCAGTATGAAGTATCCTCTCCTCTTAATTTTCAGCTTGTTCCTCGTTTCTCTTTTGGGTTGTTTGAGTTAGTTATCCTAGGCTAAAGCAGAGATAAGGACTCGTTTCAGGGTCCGCTCCTGAACAGCAGCTTGGATGGGACTGTGCTAGGTTTGGCTTCCTCCTCCCTGTACAGTGAAACACTCTCCTCATAAGCACTGCACAGTCCTCCAGCAGGTTTCCCAGCAGACTTCCATTCCTCATCTCCACAGCATCTCTTTCCCCTGTGCTCATTTTCACATTATAGAACCACCAGGGTCATCATTATTTCTCCATGTTTGTCCCCTGGAATGTCCATAAATGCTTATGTTCTGCTGGCTTTTAGGGCTACACAGAACTCCAGAGAGAGATACACATTGGTTCACCAATGCTGAAAACTCACACTGAGCAGAGGGTATATAGCACAAGACAGATGGAAGTCAGCTCAACTCTCTCAGTTAATTTGGGCAGTGCTTTCAATGTGCCTGAAAGGACAGACCATGTATTTCTCACACCTGTTTAGTGGGAGGTTTTTCCTTGTGCAGAATCTTTCTGCTTTCTTGACAGTAGTCTTAGAAATGCAGATCCCTTCATTTTCCTACTTCTGACATTCCACTATGGTTGAATCTCTGTTAAAATAACATTTCAAATATAATTTAAGTCCATAAATATAGTAATATTTCCTTTCTGTTAAACCAAGAATCACCTGCAGGAATGACGGAACTCCAAAGTTCAACAGCACACCAATATTTCACAAAGAAATGGCTCTCCAAGACAAATTGGGCATTCATCTCTCTCTTGAGCTTGCAGAACTATGATACTAGGACATACCACAGACACCAATTCCAAGGATAATTATTCATACCATCTATGAACAACTCGCCCAAATGTTGTGGAGTTTGGGGCAAGTTTATCTTTATAAAGAATTCATGACATACCTCCTTTCAATCATCTCACATCCACCCACACTGACATTTCACAAACCAAACTTATCCGTAATACCTCTCAACGCAAGGCATTTTCTACACATTTGTTCAGGTCAGCGTGCAAATGTTCTCACTTTCCAGCCTTAAAAAAAGAGAAGGAAAATAAAAGGAAAAAAAAACACATACTCCCACATTCTTGTACAAAAGACTACTCAAGGTCAGGATCAAGAAAAAAGCCTTTTGTCCTCCCCTTTTGTCCTCCTCTTAGCTTGTGCAGTACCTTCTTTCACAGAGTGCGCAATAAATTTCCAATCAGAATTTCGCATCTCTCTCAAGCTCTTTCTCCTAGGGGAAGCAAGATCAGACAGAATCAAACAGACAAATGTTACAATCTTTGTCCAAATGCCATTGCAAAAAAAACCCAAAAAGAAACACCACCACCCCCCCCCCAAAAAAAAACCACCCAAATATAAAAAAAAAAAAAAAAGACCCTCTGAAAAAACAAAAACCTCAATCTTTATTTCTAAGTAAAATCCTCACTGTAGCTTATTTATGCCATGGTTGTTGGAAATACCTTTTGAAGCACTTTACAGCAGATTTGCTGCCTGTGTCTTAATTGCCTGCTAAGTTCTCTAGACCATCTTTGATTTTTACCATTTTTTGATTTTTACTGTCTTTTTACATCTTTGATTTTTTCAAAGATGTAAAAACTGCTGAACAGCCCTTTTTCCAATTCTAAGGCAACAGCTCTGCTTTTCTCTTGGACAGACCTCAATGACATACTTCACATTAAAAAAAAATGACAAGAAAAACAACGAGAGGGTTCTTTTTATGGCAAAGCAATAGCTGTCTCAGCTGAAGACAAGCTTCTGTGCATGACAGTTATTACCATCATATTGGATGAATTGCATTACAAGTTGGAATACTACTTGTAGGAAGTAATGTGGTATTTATGTAAAGGAATAAACATGAAAAAATATATCTACACTCTGTATGACTTAAAATGATGTAAAGGCAGAAAATGCTAACTCGCATTTGCTGGTTCATCAAGACAATTGTTCTACAGAATTAATTAAGTAGTAAACATTATTATTCTCCGATTTCCAGATTTTTGTTGTGGAAGTGAAGTCACTCACTCACAGCCTGCTAGTGTGTCACGACACTGGCTCTATGAAAATGAATCTGACCCCAAAAAGCACAAATGAAGGATCAGGCCTGCGTGAACTAAGGATCCATTCCTGCAGTTTTAGAGAAGAGTCCTCACTAGCTTCTCAATTTTCTTGCTGTACCACTGAAGCACCATGCAGACTCATTCAAGGAAACAGCTTTCAGCAACCCATGTCAAAGGATGCTGAGCAGACTTTTCAGAGGCTTTTAATTCATTTTTAATCTTTGTTCCTAAATGTGGGGCTGATGCAAATAGAACGGCCAGAACAACTTTATTTTAGGAAAAAAGAGTCAGTTTTATGCCAGCATTGCTCTCAGGTAGGGCTGAAATGTTTCATCTTAAACTCCCCCAAAATGTCAGCTTCAGGCAACTCATCTCAAGTTAAAAATATCAGCTTTAGGACTGAACTACAATAAAGCAAATGAAAAGGGCCTGGCAACTGGAAGTGTTGGTAAAGCTTAACTATGGATGACACTGTCAGTTCCCTGTGCAGCACCAGGAACTACACTGTCTGTGTGGTAAATGGTGGGTTTTGTGATCTGGATGTACTTCCTAATGATCTGCACCACTTCCTAAATGTCAGACATGTGATGTGAATTTCTATTCATGTTACCACTTCAGTCTATAATCCTGAATAATCACTATAATCTGTTCTTAGCAACTGTGGTCATGGTAAGGGATGTACATCCACATCCATCAGAAATCATTGCCAGTTCTCACAGAAAACTTCAGGAGAAAAAAAGACTGAAACAAACGAAAACCCTTCATTCAAGATTCTACAATGCCAGTATGACTTGTGCCCTCTTCGCGTCAAGCCCTTGAACACATGTATAATTAAGAACTTAATTAATTCCACTGAAGGAAATAAAGCTGCTTTATACACATCACTGTTTTGAAGGAGTGCAGTATTGTTCTCGCAGCAGTAATATTTCATGGAATGCTGTTGAAAATTAAGTAGTATAATTTTTTAATTACATGGAATAAAAACCAATCCCCCCTCAATAAAACCCCCAAACCCAATATTGAAACTTAGGCGAACAGACATGCATTAATGTATTTCAAGATGTAAATTAATGGACCACATTTAGATCTCTGTCAGAGAAACTAGTTAGATTTAGTTAGAGAATTTAGTATTAGAGTCTACTTAGAGGACAGGCGCTTTTATGCGTTCAGAGGAAATACTGCTCCTATCTCTTTGCTAAATACCAGCACCAGTACTACAGAATGACTGCTGCTGCTGAAAAAAAGATCCCCAAAAGCGATCATAAAGGCATTAGGCACCAGATCTGATTTAAGCACAAAATCACCTAAAAAAAACATGCCTGCATACAATGTAGCTGTAAGACAAAAGTAGCAGACTAGTCTAACCAATACAAATTGAGGTACTCAAAAAGGAATACTAGTAAACACATATTTGACATGCAAGAAAAAAACAAAGAAAAGTAACAAATGCCACCAGTATTGTAGACTTTGTGTCTGAATATTCTACTAGAGCTAGTAGTATTTGTTACTTTGCCTTATAAAGGAATGATTGATTGATGACATTATTTCCTTAATTAATACATTTTAGCTGTATTACTTTTAGAATTTATTTGCTGAGCACAGGTTAGCCTGAAGTTAAAATCCTCTTAATGGTTCATAGCAAACAAAATAACTGAATGAAATTGAAACTGGATCAACTTAACACATCACATCACCTTACCATAATAACTAATACAGGCTTTAAAGTTCCATAAAATTGAATATTCTGACAATGTTCTGATCTGTCTAATGTTCAAAAGAAGGCTTCCAGGGAAGGCTGAAGTAGACTAGAACTACTATTTCCACCATGACTATCTTGGTAAAGTAGCTTGGCAGAACCAGTTTTTCAAGAAGGAATAAAACTCCAACAGAGAAGGATTTCTACAGAGTCTTGATGGAAAAAACTTTATCATTCCAGACAGAGGAGCAGCAGAGAGAAGTCTGTGACTAAGGACAACAGATTTTAGATGTGAAAAATTAATCTTGTCATTTTCTAATAGTTCTCTAGCAAGACATCAAGTAACATTTGAAAGCACCACTGATACAACTGTTTTAAGAGAGATTTTAGGGAGGTAGTACTATAGATGAGAATTAATGAAGGTAGAGACTGCAGAAGAAAGCAAAACACTTCATAACACATCTGGCTTCTGATACAATAATGTAGATATTGAAAAGTGCTCATTTACATATCAATGTATTCTAATGAGCAAGGACAAAACAAATCATAAAAGGAAGGAAGAAGCTGAGCTTTTTTTGTTCAAAGCTGAGCATCACACAAACACACAGAGTAAGGCAGGCCCTGGTGTTCGCTCCAGTTTCTAGGAGTAAAAGAATCTTGTCTCATCTTAGGCTATGTCAAAGAAAAAAAACAACCCAACCCTCACTTGAAGACAACTTCAGCAGTAACAACATTCCTTTCCTCAAGTGGCGGATCCAGCCCAACAAGGTGTTCTGTCTTCCTGTAATGTGCCACAACCAAATCCCATTTTATGTGTAACAGACAAGACAGGGAGCAGACTGTGGCCTGTGAGCATCGCTGACACAGAACCCTTTCCTAAACTTTTTGCTGACCCTTCAATTTAGTAGAAGCAAAATTAACCATTTACTCAGCACACACCCTGCAAAGCATCTAAACTTTCACTAAGTCCTGTTTTTCAAAGTTAGTATCTTCAAAAAAAATGTAGTATCACACGTACACCAGAATAACCATTTCCAAACAGAATATTAACATTCCACATGTGGACTTCTGGATATTAAAGAAAGATTAGTATTCAAGTAAAGGAAATAAGGAAGGTCTGGGTTACTTTGTTCTTTCATTCCTGGGAAAGGAACCTCATGCTTGGCTATCACAGAGCTTTTGCTCCTGTTTATTTGAAGAACCAAAGTGTCAGACTGTGCTCCTGCGGGCTGATATGTCTTTTTCACTGATCAGCTAAATTTCTCTTTCCCTGATTTTTTGTTTTGTGGTAAATATTTCAGACATGAAAAATTAATCTTATAATTTGTGAACTATCCTATAAAAAGAGATCAAGTAACAGTTGAAATCAAGTGTTAATGAGACTGCCTCGGGACGCAGATTTAAGGAGGGAAGCACTCAACTCATTCCTGCTCAGTATCGTGCAGGGTGTTGGCCTGTAAGAAGTTATAACAAAACCTGTTAAAACTTCAGACTCAGAAGAACATACCCTCAGAGTATATTCCCTCTCTTTGCCTTTCTGATAAACAGTTGCATTATCTCCTTTGCCAGCCATCTGATGTGTTACAGTCACGCTGCTCTGCCTGAACAATGAATCCTCTCGTAACGCAGATACAAAGTTAGTTGACTAGGTAAATTTACTTCCCACTATGATGGAACAAAGTAGCTGTGCTACACCTGTTCTTTGGGGGCTGATATAATTTTCATAGGTCTAACTTGTACTGAACAAGGACTGGTAGGAAACCAAACTTATTCCAATATATATCTAAAAACACACAATGAACTGCATGTCCTAAAACCAACCAGGGAAAGCAGAAACAGACCACAAAGGCAGAAACAGAGTGCAGCTTTCCACTTTTCCTCATGTGACTTCACCCCATTACATGGGTAAAAACCTGTAAGTGCTATCAGATAAAATTTGGATTAGAATTTTAAGATTTTTATTTTTAGGATGGGACAACATGGAAGGCACTATGATAAGAAGTCTGAAGGTGAACAGGATGGTATGTTAAGCCACCAAAATAGAATTTTATGATGGAAAATAACATGGTCCCCAGATACTCCTTTAACGTAGGGATGGCAACATCTTCTAAAAGCAGTTGAGTATTGCAAATTAATTAAAATAAAATTAATAATGTATGCAATTAATATCTTACATTGCAAGAAAATCTAAATAGTTTGTCAGTGCATAATACATACTGCATACAGAAATACATAAATGAAACAAAAATGAATCACTTGACTTTGATGCT